TGTAATATCTATTCTGCACTTATTTCAGGTAACAGATTTGTTTCCTTTTATAGAAATTTGGATATCTAATGTCGAAGTTTACACTTGAGATAAGTATTTTAAATTATGTACTTTTGAAGTCAAACTGCTTTTATTTATTTAAGATTATCAAGTGTAGAGGAATGATCTTTTAGGGAATATAATGACAGGTACTGTGTATATACATTTATTTTTAGATCATATTTTAAAATTATGTTTTTCACTGAACAGTATCAAGTATCATAAGTAGTATGAATTAGAAAAATAAATACATTTTAAAAATTTAATGCTTAACCATTAGTCTCTGTAAAATAGCTTGTTAGCATGCTTATTATTTCATTGTGTTCAGATCTCATTTTTAGCAGCCATTTATTGTGGGGTGCTACTCTAAGTATGAAGTAAGTCTTGAACTTGTTCAGAGTGATCCGAGATGAGAGATTCCTGTCACATCCAGTTGCCTGCTTAGGGAACTCCTTTTTGGTATGGACTTGCTAGTGCATTGTTGAACTTACATGATGACTTGAAAACGATATGAGCTGTGTACTTCTCATATGTAGTAGGATCATATATTAATCTGTAATTAATTTCTTTTTCAAAGTTCATCTTCACAAACTACTTTTGGGCAACCTGATGCAGTGGATGTGCTTTGCTTCTTTTCTTTTTTTTCACACCACATATTCAAGGCTTTGTCTATGCCGTAAGGGTTTTGGAAACAAGAATAGGGAAAGATCTCTTTGGGATGTGTTAATTGCCAGAATGCCTCTCCCAAGTAGTCAGTGTAGCTCATCTTAACAAAATGCATTTATCAAGCATATTCAGCTAGAACTGGAACATATCTCGTCTCAGGGAACCCACACACATGAAGGGCTGTCTACTTTCCCATTAGTTCAGCTCGTAGAACAGAAGAGCATGACTTGTTTACATAACAGAAACCAATATTTGCTCTTTTATTCTCTTGGCAAAGACTTCCAAGGGCAACGTTTGACAGATCCTGGCTAAACCCTTGCTGACAGTGTATTTTTTCTTGCTTGATTCAGTGGAACTCAGTGGACAACAGCGATGCAGGCTAGTTATGTTTATGACTTTCTCACAGTTACATCTGAAGCCCTTCCTGTTTCTTATGAACAGCGTAGGTGTTGTTAAGTAAGACTGAGACTAGGTATTCTGAAGCATAACGCCTTTAGTCTCATGACTAACATTGCGCTGAGCTCACGTGCTGATATTTAACGGAAAGAATGAACACAAGAAAATGACTCTTGGATCAAATTTGACCTTGTCCTGAATCACTCGTGAATCTAGTGCAGCAAGAGCAGTCACCTATTTCTTTCTTGTAAACTGTTAGATGTGTGAAGACTGATCTTAGAAAAAAATGTGTATTTCATGTAAATCAAATAAATCCT